AATTACAAAAATCAGGTCAAAACAAAACATGTAAAGCTATATTTCCAAGCAACTATACATAACAATACTCTTTAGAAAGGGATTGTGCAAAATATTTTGAATTCCTGTTCTTACCAACACATTTTTCAGCAACCTCTTGTAGAAATATTTCTGATGGCTTAGGGGTCCATTCACGTGTGTGGATCTTAAGAATCTCCTTTCTTGCCTAGAAACATAAAAAAAAGGTATTTAAGATTTCTTAATTTAAGATATCAAATATTCCAGTTCCCATTCATGAATGCTCTATGCTTACATTAACATCAGTTTTTATATAGACAAAACTACTGTACTGTTCATTATTACAATTCCTCAATATAATTCTAATTATATAACAAAATAACTTTGGAAAAAGATAACAGTGTAAGCTTTATGTGATTTTTATCTTTATGCAGTGTATAAGGCGCACCCAAATTTTCACCCTCGTTTTGGGGCGAAAGGTGCATCTTATACTTCAAAAAAATACAGTATTTAGCGACCCACAGTGGTATAGAGATGGATGGAATTACAGAATGAACAATAAGATTGTTTCCTGGGATGCCCTAGTTCTCCATTTCAGTCTGATTATTGTCTTCATAAGTCAGATTTTAATGGGTTGTTTCTAAATGAATAGTTGTTGGGAAATGCAAAGAAGGGCAGCACCAAGTAAAGTATGCTACCATCTTAGGATGAAGCATTTCAGAAAACCATTCCACTAGTTAATAATGGAATGTATTTCAATCTGATGCATTATGTGTTTTGAGGAGTAGATTGATGGAGCTAATACAGGATAGGGTTAATTCTTCTTCTGGGAGGCAGGGGGATCTCCTGGGGAGAAGATCCCTTTGAGCAGCCACTTTTAAGAAAAATGTGCAGTGGATCTACAATCATGGAACTGGCAGCACACCAAAGAGAGCAGAAGAGAATGCATAGCAATAGCACTTAAGACTTATATACCGCTCCATAGTGCTTTACAGCAATTTCTGAGTGGTTTCAATGTCAGCATAAGCCTACTTTCTTGATTTATGATGGACCAAATGAAAAACAAAAGACAATACAGGAAATATATTTATTAGAAACAATGTGATATCTCACTCTGCACAACTTGAACTTGTTTCTGTATAATAGTTATAGACATCCAGTTCATTTCCACTGATTTAAACACAGTTTCTCTGTAAGCCTTATGTTTATTGCTCTATACAAAATGCTCCATCGTGGTAAGCCGAAGCTAATTATTCATCAGTAGTAGAATTTCTTACCTCTTTATCTGGTAATGTAAATAGGAATTCTCTGTCAAAACGTCCAGGTCGTCTCAAAGCGGGGTCTATGGAATCCAATCTGTTTGTAGCACCAATCACCACAATCTCACCTCTATGGTCTAAGCCATCCATCAATGCAAGCAATGTAGACACAATTGAGCTTAAAAACAAAAATTTAAAATATGTTATCCTTTACATGGTAGAATCCACAGGACTTGTTTTAAATGCCTGAGAAAAGTGATTTTACAGCAGGTCTTCACAATCCTTTTCAGACTCAGGACTATGTTTTGCTTAACGTGCACCTCAGGATTACTGTCTTTGATAAGACAATGACATAAAGCAAAAACATAAAATATACATGAAGTATGTACCAATAAATAAATAAATAAATGCTGCTAATATGATTAATTACTCGGTTCATTTTCAAGTATAGGTCCTTGATGCAGTACTGGTATCTCTGGAGGCTGAGAGGATGAAGAGAAACTGACTTTTGCTTAACCTGACAATGCAGAGCAGCTCTGGATTTTGCTCTTTCCTGGACAAGGAGTCCTTGCTCCCAGTCACTCATGCTTT